GAATTTTGGCCCACTGTGTATTTGAGTTTGACACCCCTGATTTAGAATAACCAGCTCACTTAACACTGTTAATGTTTTCCATCCAGGTTCACACAACACTGCATGACTCTGCAGCAGTTTTCTTTGTGCTCGCTCCGAATCTCCTCTTCAGGGGAATGTGGGCTCGATTAGTCCTGCCTGACCGACGGTGCCCTCGTAGCACTTGAGGGCAAGCAGCATCTGTTCTCTTTGCCAAGCGGTCGTCTCTCATTGTAATTCAATTACCCTGCTTAATTTGACATCCTGTTGAACTGTCAGTGTTATAGCCCACAGAGACAATCCACAAATTCAACTGCTGCACTTGTTTCACCATGTGAACTGGACCACATGTTATATTATTTTAATGTCTTCTGTGTATGCACAGATTGATCCCAGATGGGTACAGGGACTGCAGCAATTACGGTACATCTTGGTGTATTAATAAAGCCATGTCCGGCTACGATCACCAGGATTCTGTTTCTTTGTGTGTATTCTTCCTTATGCAGTCTCACATCCCTGTTTTATGGAGAACCAAGTGAGAAAGAGAAGTCGCCTTCAGAATCCAGTCCCTCTGACTCTGAGACCAAGGACATGGTATGCTCAAACCTTATCTTACATTTTTCAAAGGATACCTTATGATTTATTTCCCGTGTTGCAACATTCTTGTTGTTCTTCTGCTCCTGCTCCTGCCTCTTCCTCTTCTGCCTCTGCTTCTTCTTCTGCTTCTGCATTTCAGGTGTGTTTTTATTTCACATCATCAGACTAGTTTAAAGCCACAGCAGACAGTTGTTTTCAGTTTCTGGCAGAAGTTATGACGAACACACCGCATACTCATGTACCAAATAAGAGATGAGCTGTTGAACATAGTGGAAAAACTAGCAGTAAAATATTTTATGTGCTTATTAGGGGTTTGAAGAGCTAGCAGTCAGCAGTCACATGTGATAAATTAAAGCTGGTGAATGTGTAAAACACACTTGCCAAACGTTGGTCAGTTCTTTGGTTATTTCATGCTTCTAAATAAGCAGTTTTTGCTGACTCTGAGCTAGTAAACTGGATTACCGGCCCAGAAAAGAGCAGTGCCTCATCTTTGTTGAAAGAAGCTCCCCTTAATCTTCTGTTCTGACCACGAAGAAGCTTTGCCATGGAATTTTTTCTCTGGACAATCTAGGTCAAAATACATGCAGTCATGTGGTGGGGAAAAAGTAAGATGTGAGCTAACTTCTCAGGAGTGGACATCCCAACAAATTAACCCCAAGGTCAGAGTACAGCAGAGTACATGACAGTACAATTAGACACAAAGCTGAACAAGTCTGTCTCGTTCGGACGGTTTGCCAGGAGAAAGCCCCTCTTCTGTAAAAAGAACGTAAACAGCCTGGCTTAGGTTTGCAAAATTGCATCCGATGAAACCGCAAGACTTCTGGAACAATGTCCTTTGAACAAATGAGACCGAAATGGAGATGTTTGGAAATAATGCACAGTGCCACATTTAGAGAAAAATACAAATGCCTCTTACCAGCTGTCAAACATGGTGGTGGAGGGGTGATGATTTGGGTTTGTTTTGCAACCTCAAGACCTGGGCACCTCGCTGTTATTGACTCAACCATGAACTTCTCTGTATACCAGAGTACTAGAGTCAAATGTCAGGACGTCTGTTTGACAGCTATAGCTTGGCCCAAATTGTGACAAGACACGTGACAAGACAGTGATCCCAAGCACAGCAGCACATCTGCAAAAGAATGAGTGAAAAAGAAAGTGAAAATCGTCCACTCGAACTCAAGACCTCAACCCAACTGAAATCCTGTGGTGGGATCTTCAGAGAGCTGCAAATAAAAGAATGCCCACAAACTTCAATAAACTGAAGCAACATTGTAAGAAAAAAAGAGGGCAAAAGTCCATACAGAATGATGTGAAATACTGATGAAGTCATGTTGTTGAACTAAAGCTACTAAATCAAATGGTGTACTAAATTTTTCACTGTGAACTTTTTTTTCTGCAAAGCATTGGAAACCAGGAAGGGTATTTATCATAAAACCCCCAAATAAATATTTTAGATTTCATAATGGGATAATCAATACAATCAATACAATAGTATTGGAGTACTCTGCATCAGAAACCCCACTAATGCAAAAATAATTTAAGTATTATCAACAAAGATCTGGATGCTTAACATGAATAAATGTGCTGTGTGACTGTCATAGAATTAGATACTATATCATCTGAATATTGTCACTCATGCATTAATGTATAAGTAGGCGTTTATTATTAGCAGCAAATCAACTGGTGCTCATTTCGAATGTTTCGTATCCAGCTGCACCGAATGAATGTTTTCACCGTGGATTAATCTGCCAATTATTTTATTTTTGCGAGATGTCATTAGGCACGCTAAACAATTATTGCAAATGTTTTGGTAATTGATTCACTTGACTTACTGGCTAACAGATGAATGAGTTCAGATGTGCTTGTATAAATTGTTGGGGAGCTGAATTCATAACAAAACATTAACGTTTTAAGCTTTTTATGTGTTTGCGTGCAAAAATCACGATTTAAAAAGTATCTAGTAACTAAAAGAGTCAGATAACTGTAGCAGGAAAAAAGTCATTGAAGTGACATATAGCGGAGAAGAATCAAAAGACGCTAAAATTTGTACTTAAGCACAGAAAGTTGCTTGACTAAATGCACTTAGTTCCAGTTCACAACTGCACTGAAAAGCTGCAGCTGACCCTTTCCACGTGTCTCACTCTTGGTCAGTGACCCATGTTCAGCTTTATGTTTGTGGCGTGCATGTGTATTCTCATGCATTTGGCGGCAAAACACATCCAAACAAAAACATCAGTCTGCTCACCGAAGGGCTCTACAGTGCCACTAGTGGTTAAAAATACCACAGCATATTTTTATGCACTATAATAGTGTAATTAGGGCAAAGAGACACAGTGTTTGAGGAGGAAAAGGGCAGATTCCAGTCATCGTTACACTGCAAATTATGAAGGAGAGGACCTCATTTTAAAGAAACACTATCATTACCAATAACATTGATGTTAGACAGTCTGCCAGTCTTCCTGATTATGTTCTTGTGTATTTACACTAATTATACCAAGGTGTCACAGTTAATTTCCCAGTGATATACTGATGTCTAAAAAAAGCTCCATCCTGAGCTTCTACAATAAGTCGTCAAGTCGTCTAAGATGGCACCAAGTCAACAGTTGTAAGAGGAAAGTTTGGATCATTACTCAGCGGCTCCGTCTCTGACTCCATGGCACCTGAGTGATAGACTGAGGTCATTCCCTGCATGTTTATAGCAGTGTAAGTCAAAGTGTCAGACTGGAGTCATCGTGCTGTGCCTGCACACAGCTGAGACTGCAGTAAACTGATTACAGCTCCAGACCTATTAAATCTCCATCTCTGTGTCAGTTTGCAGACCGTGTTACTATTCAAATGGAGGTTGAGTACAAGTCACCAGATATAACTGCCAAGACGTGTAATATGTCTTCAATAACCAGTTCATTGGCTGTTTTATGATTCTTTTTTCAGGGCTTCTGCTCATGGCTGTCATCTCTTTACCATATGAAGTAAGTAAACCTAAAGCAGCTGCTCCTATAATTGTTTCATCCTCCTCTCATCTTGGCTTCCAACCCTTCGCCGGCCTGTTGTCTTCAAAGCTGATGTCACCATTGAACGTAAAAGTCTGGTCTTATATCTCACTTAGCAAAGAAAAAACAAAAGAGTCTAGGCTCATGCGACCGCTGGTGCCACGGTTTCCTGTTGAATATTTGCACTTGCTCGGGTCTCGACTCCACACAACAGATTTAGAGCTGTAAAAAAGCAATTTCCGTGGTATCCATGGTTTCCATAGTATTATGGTGGAGTTTGGGTGCTTCTGTTTTTAGCTCTCCTATGCCAGTGGCTCACCCTGGGATCCCAGGCGAAGTGCAAACCCACCCTGTGAGTTCTCGATGTGTGGGCTACCATGAGACCAACGTGCACTTCTTTTCTTCTTCTTTTTTTCGATTTTATGACACTGGGTTTCCTGAACCTCCCTGATCTGGTAACCACAGATTCTGACACCAAAGTAGTGGTGCCACAGTTTTTTACTCAGGATGAGGTAGAAGCTGTAAGGGTCATTTTTATCCAGGTTTGGCCTGTATGGAGCCACTGCCACATCACGAAAAATGCGCATGTTTATCACGCTGCGTGGAAAAACTCGGCATTTGCAGATTCTGAGATTGCATCTTCTTTGTTCTGTTGCAGGGATGAGGAGATCCGAAGTAAATGTGGCATTGATGCCGTGACATATTTGTCCTTCCAGCGCCACATCATCCTGCTCATGACAGTGGTTACCCTGCTGTCCTTGGCTGTAATCCTGCCGGTCAACATTTCCGGGAACCTCCTGGGTATTTTGGTCTTGAAGTGATGGTCTAGCTAGCTCACTGAAAAGTCAAGGGATATCCTTAACCTCTGATAACAACACACCGGACTCTTCATAAAAAGAGAAGTTCGGTTAAATGCACATAAACTTTATCTTTTAACAATTCATGGTACAGCTGAGTTTAAAACAACCCGATCTCTTTCAAAACTTGGAACAAGTCAAAAGGTCAATGAAACCAAAATAAACACTGATTACATGCACAAAGGCTGCACTTCATCTAAAGGGAGTCACTGGCACACCAGTGACAAGTCATCTAGCACTTGCCCAAGTCTGATTATAGAAATAGAAAGTGCTTAATTTCCTCTTAACATACACATGTAGGTGCCAGGGGTGGGACGACACACTAAACAGGCTGCTAAATAGCAACAGAAATGCCTTTTTGGCAGTTGTGTGCTTATTTTGTAGGAAGTGTTGAGAAAGCCTTTCCACTACAGGATGAAGTCTATGAGGAGTGGGGCTGCCCACAGTAATGTTTTTATTACTGCTGGTTGTCATCATATGGACCAGTGTGTCACCATCATTAAATAAAGTGGCCAACGCCCATAGGCAGGCTGCCATGGTGACGGCAAACAAAGGGTTCCCAAGTTAAAACAGCGCAGTTAGGCATGTTTGAACTTGAACTTCATTGAGATGGCTGATATTTCATTTGACTGGATGGAAAACATTTTAGTATTGCTTCATTTCTTGGCCTCTCTCAGACAAAAGAGGGGAGGGGCTTCCTTTTAAGTCATTACAGAAATTAAAACGTCTCGCTTTGTGTCACGTTTTATTATCTCTACAGGAGACAGTCCCGAAAACTTTGGAAGAACAACCCTGGCGAATGTTAGTGCAAAGTAAGTCCAGCAATGCAGGCATGACATCAGATCTCATGAAGCATCCCAGAGCCGCGAGCAAACCTGGGCAAATCTGTAATTGCTCTGTTTATGTTCCTTGAAGGGACAGCTTTCTGTGGCTGCACAGCGTCTTGGCTCTGGTTTACTTCATTATCACGTTGCTGTGTATGGCTCACCATTCGCTGCAACTGGAATACAGAGAAGATGAGAAGGTCTGTCATCATTCAGTCACACTTTATACCATCAAGGTCCATTCAGCAAAAGATAAAGTCAAATTATTGAGATTTTAACCAAAAGGTCTTTTTTATTGTTTCAAAAATCAAATACAAGGAAAAAATAACTCAGCAAAAATATTTTAAAACAAAATTAAATGTAAAGACCGACGTCCTCTGGATTTCTGGCTTCTCCCATCCCTAGGTGCTGCATTCCTCTGTGAAATGCAGAGAATAGGGCGTTCCATTGGTGATCAATAATGATATCATTGTTTTTCATTATTCATTTGTATTCAGGGAATAAGACTACAAAGATCCTTAAAAGGATTCTGCAAACCGCCAACTATTCACCCACTTAGTTTGGCATGTTAGCATGCCTGCGTTCTCTGATTAGTGCAGTTAGGACTGATGGGTTTGTCATTACTATTGACATTTCATCAGAAACTAAAGAAATGGAAAAAGGAATAAGTACTCTTGTATTAAAAGAAATCGATTTATGGATCATCCTGAGAAGTTTTAAGTCAAATTCCTATGGCGGTCCATCTAAAAGTTAATGAAACTTTTCCTTCCTTAACATGTAAACCTTAACAATGAAACTGCGATTGATCTCTGTGGATCAGAGAAGTTTACCACTATATAGGCAACAACCTGGCATTGGCTTCCCTAGAGCCGTTAAAAGAAAGTATAACGGATTTATTTATATTGTGTTATTTATTACAGGTGGCTCGGACACTGATGATTACCTCCATACCCAAGGAGATCTCTGACCCAGGACTCATCACCAAACATTTCCAGTACACGTGTTTTCTTCTCTATTAAATAATCTTCCTGTGTTTGATTGGAGAGCTGTCTATCATTTTATTCATGCACATCCACACTTAGAAAATTCCTTATAATGAACATCTTTTCTTGTTTTCACCAGTGAGGCCTACCCAAGCTGCACTGTCACCGACATCCGGTTCTGCTTTGACGTCCACAAGCTAATGAGGCTGGACTTGGAGAGGTACGGCGGCTTTTACAGACTGGAGCATTACAGTTTTTGATCATATGGCTCTTGTCTGAGGACACTGTCGTTTTTCAGGCGCAAGGCAATGAAAGGCAGGCTGTATTTTGCCACAAAGTCCCAGAAGGAGGGAAAAATCATGATCAAGACTCATCCGTGTGCTCAGATCTTCTGCTGTGACATATGCGGCTTTGAAAAGGTAAGATTTGCACATGGCTTTCTGTGTACAGTTGCAACTTAATTGCACTGCATGGGAAGAGAATCACCACTGGATGGCACTGCGATGCAAAAATAGGTAAACGCAAGCAGCAATGTGATATTTTTGCAAGTGTAAATCTGAGAGTGAGAGTGAAAGATGAAGTGAGCAACATATCCTTTAACTCTTTTTTTTTCTGCAGGTGGATGCAGAGCAATACTACAGTGAATTAGAAGAGAAGCGCACAGATGAGTTTAATGCTGAGAAGAACCGCATCACCATGAAGAGGTTGGGCATCGCCTTTGTGACCTTTCGCGATGAGCGGATGACTGCTGTGTGAGTAAACAAGAGCGTGACACCGAGGTCTGTGTTTAATAGGTTCTCTCATCATACAGATGCAGTCACAGCAGAGAGTGACCACATAATTCATGGTAGCGTTGCTGAGTAGTGATGCAATGCCTTTTGAACATCTTGGTTTCCAGCATTGTGAAGGACTACGGTCGCGTGAACTGTCGTCGCAGGCCCCAGCAGTCCAGCATCAGCACCGTGGTGCAGTCGCACAAATGGGACGTCAGCTACGCACCTGCTCCAAGTGATATTATATGGTGAGAACTGTCACGTTTGTTTGTGCCTTTATGTCTTTTAAAAGCTCAAGCTACTCTTGGATTTTCTCCTGATTGTCTTTGAAGTCTCAATTTTGCAAATTGACAGCTTTGTACTTTTTCCATCTGAAAATGAGCAAGTCATTCTGATCGCTTCATATCGCCATGGTGACCTATCCCAGCACACACGCTGGGTACACCCTGGACAGACACCCATTCACACCTACACCACGAGAAATGTATTAATCTAACCTGCTTGTCTACTGACTGTGGTAGGAAGCTGGAGCAGCCAAAGGAAATCACACAGAAACACCTTTTGAGCACAATATCCAATTTTACATGACTTGTGCATCATTTAGACACATTTCCCTGTAATTATGCCGACATATTTGGTATCTCTGGAAACCTGTGGATCAAGACTAGACTTCAGATCAACATTCTGTGGGTTTTAGTCATGCTTGTCTGTGCAGCTTTAGCTTGTGAAGTTGGACCTAAAGGGTCCTATTTAGAGCTGAGGTATGCACCATGCAAATGTTGCTTATTGAGACTATTTGATCCCAGTGTTGCTTTTGATACTTTTGATCACTGTAATTTTGGTTTTAGAGGCTCGGGCAGTTGGTGGAACAGCTTTGATGTGGTTCTTCTCATAACTCTCAGGCAGACCTTTGTTGCTTAGTGGTTGTAATAACTCTGTATAGCTGTATTTCTGTCTTGTGGTGTTCCCCAAGTTTCTGTTGCGGGCCCCATGCTAATTGTACTTTGTGTCTATCAACCAAATACAAAGTCACTTTCAAAGTCTACTGTCAGTGTCATATGTATGATGTGTTTGTTTAAGTTTCTGAATGTTCCAAAAGTTTCTGTTCTGCTGAATACTTTTCTACAGCTGAATAGTGACAAACAGAGGTTATACCACAGGTGATGAAAGGCTTGGCTCTTTATGGTATTATGTTAAACTTTGGTTCTGAATCTGTACCCTGTGTAGCATTTACTGAAGCTTTGAGTCACTCCTTTTACTACCAGCTATGAAACATGGCTAAAATTAAGTCTGTACAACATTTTTCTTGTTGGTGTTATAACTGCAATCAGACAGCAACGTAACGTGTACTCCAGTAGACTCACCAGACTTTTTTTCTTCCAGTAAATAAGGTTTCTCGCTCGCTCTCTCATTGTGTGTTACGTGTTGAGCTTATGTGTGTGGGCCACTGGACAACTGATGCTGATTTTTTTACACTGGCTTCTGATCAGATTAAAAATTTGGTTCTTGTGATGATGTTTTGAACCTTGCATAAACAGGCACTCACTCATATTAAAGACCTGTTGCAGACACATAATACCAGTGGGAATCTGAGGGCCTTGGATCAGGCCTTGATAGCTGTTTCCACACAAGGCTCAAGGCAAAAGGACTCGATGCTTCTTTGGCTGTGGACCCCACTGGACTCGACTGGAAGAATCATTAGTTTAAATTTTCTTTTGTTCATTTGTTTTATTTCTTCTATTTTTTAATCCTCCTGGTTTTATCTGACTGTCAGTGTTTAAATTCTCCTGTTGTGTTTGCTTTTTAGTTATCCACCATCTCTTGAAAGGCACTATGTAAATAACACAAAATGTGGATGTTTCAGCGATCGGTGCCTGCATTAGTATCGCTATTCCTGCTTCTTTTTCATAAATTTCAACTTCAAAGACATTTAAGATTATCGGTATGTTGTTTGCTGTAAGTAGCAGATCTCAAACACCGTCTAAAGCTTAATCAGCATCCGCGATTGGATTAGCTGCGGTGCATGTTTCTTATCTCAGAAAGCAAATGCAGAGATTATGTAACAAGTGAGTGCTGCATATGTATGGGGATTAACCAAAGGAGGCTCACAGTTTGAGCTTCACATCTGACTGACTGCAGTGTGTTTGTGTCTACGCATGAACTTGTATTTTCTGTGGCAGTCGCAGACTGAGAGGTCGAGCAGGGACTGGGAGCTGAAGTGAGCTGGTTTAAACTTGCTCTTCTACCCAGTACGCTGGACCGCTCTTAGAAGAGGCCACTCATCCGGCTATTTCAGGCATATGTCAAAACATAAAGTACATGTACATCAGAGAAGGGTAATATGTTAACTGTGTTCATCTTGCTGGATGATTGGTAACTGAGGCTCGTCATTTTTCCCATCGATAGGGAAAACCTGTCAGTGTGTGGATCTCGGTGGTGGCTCCGCTGCGTCCTCCTCAACATCCTCCTCTTCCTGCTGCTCTTCTTCTTCACCACTCCTGCCATCATCGTCAACACCATGGACAAGTTCAACGTCACAAGGCCCGTGGAGAGTCTGAGGGTTAGAGTTTCAGAGCAGTTTAAACTTACTGACGTCTGTGCTCCATTGTGAACCTCCTCACTTTCATCAATCGCCATTTTGCTCTCCAATGCAGAGCCCAGTCGTTACCGAGTTCTTCCCAACCCTTCTGCTGTGGGCGTTTTCAGTGCTCCTGCCCTTTGTTGTCTACTACTCCGCCTTCTTTGAGTCCCACTGGACCAGGTACAGGGTAGTCATCAACTACCGCTCTCCTCAGCCATCTGAAATAGAAATGTGGATATTTTGCTTCGTTTACTTGCAGCGGTTTTTCTTCCTCTCAACTATCAGCGTTCCTCTTTTTTTTCCATCGAATTTATTTCTTTTTCACCCTCTTGCTCTTTTTACTCTCTCCCCTCTCTCTCCCTCCTTCTCTCTGCCACTCTCCCTGCACTGTTATTCTGGGCAGGTTGTCATAGAGATCTCCGTGCGAGGATAATGATATGAACAGTAGTCACCGTGCGCCGTTTCCTCTATGTGCGGTGACTAGCAGGAGGAAGAACAAGTGTGCATAAGAACAACCTATAAGCACCCTTTCTTTACATAACCACCCCCACAAACGTGTTGTGCAGGCGTGATGTGTGAAGGACCGAATGCAAATCAACTGTTTACTGTAGTAAAAAATGTAGTTTGTGCTAATGGGTACAAAGAGTCAACTGTTTTTTCCATTTTGGGCTTTTAATTCATGAATTTATTATGTGGTTTTTTTCTTTTTGTGGGTTTTTTTTGTGTGTGTGTGGGTTTTTTTAGATATATGTTGCAAAATATGTATCGCATGTTCTCATCTTTTTGGATCATTTCATGTCTCAGATCTGGTGAGAATCAAGTGACGATGCACAAGTGTTTTTTCTTGCTGGTCTTCATGGTCATCATCCTGCCTTCACTTGGTCTGTCCAGGTACATCTACAGTGATTTCCCTTTTTGATCTACTTCTTTTGAATTATTCCTGGGTTTTTGTGGGTTTTTTGTAATGTTTATGCACTTTTTCTATTTTATTTCTGCTCTAGCCTTGACCTCTTGTTCACCTGGCTCTTTGATGTCAACTTTCTGGAAGAGAAGGATTTAAAATTTCAGTAAGATCAAAAAATGTAATGAGAAGTGCAATCAAACACATAATTTCCACTCCACGATTATCTTCTTGTGCAGCTACACACTGCTATCTGCTCAGGTGCTATTTTTTTAGATCACTCAGTGGAAGTAAATAAATAAATAATAACAGAATGAAATGATTTACAATTTTCACAAACCCATATTTTACTCACAATAGAACATAAAAAAATGTTTAACCTGAGAAAATATGAATTCATTTGAATTTGATGGCGGCAACGTATGTCAAAAAGTCTTCTTACATCTTCTTCTTTTACTGACTTGTTGCCATTGACTAAATTAGTTGCAAAGCATTTTTCCAGCTGTTTCTTTTTAGTAGTTTTGAGATGTGTTGCTGGCATCAAATTCAAAATGAGCTAATATTTTTTTCAAGATGGGACGTTTTCCCAGTTTAAACATTTCAATATGTTTTTTTTTCTATTGTGAATAAAATATGGCTTTAGGAGATTTGTAAATCATTGCATTCTGGTTTTTACTGGGGTTGCAGGTAAAAAAGTGATAAGTTGATATTTGCTGCAGTAATAGTTTGTGGTCCTTTGTCCAACTGTAGGACATTAGTGTTGATAATGGGGCTTTCAGCTTCATCAGTGTCCCTTCACTTGGGAGCGAGCTAAAAACGGGAAAGCACCGCACAGATGCACAAGAAGATGACTTTGAGCCAAAGTGAAATCTGATGTATATTTTTTAATTATTATTTTATTTTTTATTTGGAAATTATTTGGTTAAAACTGAGTCTCAGAAAGAATCTCCAGCAGCCCACTTCTTGTCTGCGTCTTAATGCAGGTGTGTGTTTCTTCCTGACAACGGCGCATTTTTTGTAAACTACGTAATTACATCCAGTTTGATTGGCACGGCTATGGAATTGCTACGTATCCCTGCACTGACGGTGTACGCACTACGCCTCTGCTTTGCAAAATCCCAAGCTGAGCGAATTCATGTCAAACGGGTAAGCGGAGCCTTGGTGCTTATCTTGGCATCTTAACACGCTGTTTGGTTTAAACTTTAAGAAGCCAGCTGTGTTTATTTTGTCTCTGCAGAGTCAAGCTTATGAGTTCCAGTTTGGCCTTGAGTACGCCTGGACCATGTGTATCTTTGCTGTCAGTATGACCTACAGCATCACGTGTCCCATCATTACACCCTTTGGTGAGCAGCACACAACTACGCTCTTGTAAAAGCATCTACCTCTTCTTCTCACCCTCTCTTCTCAGCCATCTGCATCCCAACACGTCCCGTCTCAGTCGTGTTTGTGTAAGGCCGTGTCTCCTCGTACTGTAACCTCACTCTCCTCTGCTGCCTGCCAGTCCGATGCAGACTGTGTGAATTTGCTGCTGTAGTCCCAGACACTCAGACACAGCGAGCTGTGAGCCAGACGCCCACTCTGCTCCTGTCTCTGCCCGGCGCTCACCGAGCTTCTATTTACTTCTGCAATCTAATCGTCTGTCAAAAACAGGCCGCCTTTAATGCACCAAACTCTGTGTCTGCTTGCATTTCACCTGCTTTTTTTTTCTAGATTTCAGTTTTCATTTGATAAAGAAGACCAAGACAACAGATTTTTTTTTAAATTTAAAGGCAAAAAATGTAAAATTAGCTTCCAATTGATCAAAAACAGGGACTAGAACAGGGTGTAAAAAATAAGGCCCGGGGGCAAGAACCTGTCTGGCAAAAACAAAAATCTGACACACCAAAAGGCTTTGGAAAAATTTGAATGAATGCATCAATTTTTACCTTCTAACTTTAAAACTATAAAATAAATAAGAATAATTTTCTGTGAATTAACAAAAATTGTGTTTTCCTGTAAATTTGTACAATTAACATGTAGAAAAAAACAAGACAAGAAAACAAGAAGTGGCATTTCTTTTCTTCTATTAAGGGATATCCCAGGGATTAGATGTTTAGTTAAATATCTGTCACTGATCTGGTCTGAGTTCAAAGTTTTATGATGTAAATGAGTATGATGTCATATTTATTCCGTATTAGTATCTTTTAATTTCCTCTCTTAAATCCATAATTTAATTTAAAATCCTAGTTCTGACATACAAAGTCTTGAGTGCTCACATCCCATTTACAGCTGTCAGACCTTTCAGGATTATAAAATACAACAAATCACTTACTGCAGGTTTATTTGTTTTTCTTAGAGTTTCCAAAAGTAGAATGGGAGCCCGAGCCTTCAGCTATTAAATCCCATCAAGTCCCGTTTTGGACTCAACAAACAGGAAACAAACACCCTCTCTGCTTTTTGTACATCACAATCCTCATTAGATTTATCAAACCCTGTGTATGATGTTGACGTCGATCAGATAACTTTGTCTCTCTTTCATGTTGCAGACACTCATCATCAGTGCATTTTTGTTTAACTTTTTTCTTCCAGGTCTGCTCTATGCGATCCTGAAGCACATGGTCGATCGATACAACATCTACTATGCTTATGTTCCCACCAAACTCAACCAGCGAATCCACAGAGCAGCCATTAGCCAGGTCATTGTAGCTCCCATTCTCTGCATGTTCTGGTTGCTCTTCTTCTCCGTGCTCCGATTAGGTAAATATCCCTGCCATAAAAATTCATAAAGATCGGTGGATTGTCAGGATACTGTAATATTGTAATTTTTCATGTTTTTCCCCTTCACTGTTACAGGTCCAATGCATCCGATCACCCTCTTCACTTTAGTGTCCCACATCTTCTGCATTGTCTGTTATCTCTTCCGCTTGTGCCTTAGGAAGCAACCAGACAAGTCAACAAGCTACCAGGTCAGCGCCACCAAGTGTCACAGTGACAAAATCAGCTAAAGATGACTTATACTGAATTGAAATAATATTTTTCCCATGCATTGTCTCTTTTGTTTCAGATGTCTGATCAACCAGTGGGACGCTCACTGATGCAGACAGAAGTACCGTAACATCCACCACCGCCTCCAGTGTACAGTACCATTTCTTTCTCTGTTGGGCAATACACAACCAAAGCATATTATTGGAGAGAGACCTAAATGTGACAGAGAAGGCTTACGTTATTTAAGTTAATATATCAGTGGATTGTGTGCTGGATGAGATTTCCACTGAATGAGATTTAATTGTTGAGTTTTCCATGAGACCTGAGAGCCATATGCTCTTAAGCTTATGAAAGAATCAACCTCAGAAGACAAGCACTGGGGTTATTCCATATAAAATCAAATATATCACTAAAAAGTTCCATCATGACTTTATAACAACATAGTTTTTCTCTTTTTCTCTTAATTGGGACATAACAAAAACTCAACCAATATCATATCCATGACATGGGAATAGTAACAAGCTCAGGATGTTTGAACTGTTAATTCACAGGAGAAAGAAGTTGAAAGAGCGTTTTGATGAACCATCTCCATGTGGGATAGATAAGTGGTCAAAGCTAGTTATAGCATGTGAAAGGTCTCTTGTTTATCTCCATTTTAAACCAGGCACACACTAAACCAGGCCTGTGAATAAAGTGATTTACTGGGTGACACAATTCCAAAATGTGCATTGATCTGCTTCCCTCAGCTTTTTGTGGCATCTGTGTTGCTGGAGCCAGAGCTGGCTTTGACTCCGATGCCCTCCCCGGCCCACCACAGCTATGGCGCCATGGCCAGCTCTCAGAGTTCAAACCATGGGCCAGCGGAGGAAGAAGAAGGAGAGGGGGAACACACCCAGACCCGTGAGACTGAGCTCCAAGACCCACCAGACCTCTATTGCTCCACCATGCTCATGGACAGCTCCATGGGCTACCAGTAACACCAAATCTCCACCCAAAACTGACTTCTACGTGTCCTTCAGCTGAAGAACACAGATTACTAAATGCCGCAATGCTGCGTTTTCACCACTGACCTCAGACTCCAACTACGCTGCTGCCTCGGACTCTGAGACTAGACTGTGCTTGCTAGAAAGGCTGAAGAGCCTGAAGAGTAACGGAGCCTGAGAATACAGGAGCTAAATGCTCATAAATATCACAGTTGCAGAAGAAAGCCATTTGCCTAAACAATCTGCCGAACCCATCAGACACAGCTCAACAGAACATGACACCAAGCTAAATGTACAGATTCTTTTAGCTAAATGATCAGATGCTGATACTGACTCTGTCTTCTTCTATGGCTTAATTTGCAAATTAAAAAGGTTACAAGTAATGCAGACTGGAATAGAAATGCATTATGGTTTCAGTCAGAGATACTCTATCCATGCTGTGTCGCTTGGAAATGAGTGGAGGCGAAAGTTCCCATCAGAGTGGGTGGTGTGAGCAGGCTTGCCCCGACAGACTGACAGAGGGGTTTGGGCATAGGTGATATCTGGTTGCTCTGTAGAAGAGCTCGGCAAGGCCGAGGGTGAGGGCAGCTAGTTGTGAAGCCATCTGCAGTGAGACAGCAGACAGACGGACGGAGGGCCAAATGTAACTCTGAGATGTACTGTAATATATGTACGCTCTAAACGGAGGCGCAAGCAGCTTGACTCAACCTAAAGCTTGTTGTAACTATTATCAATATAAGGTTGATATTTTTGCTACAGTATTTTTGGTGTCATTGATATTGTGCTTTGGGTTGGGGGCGGGAGGAATCGAGGATGTACAATGATTTGCAGAGATGTCTCATCTTAATCAAAACCTTACCTAATTATGTTTCGACTGTACATATGGTCAAAGTGGAATAGCTTGAGCTTTTTGGAAATCTGCTATCTCTTTTCTTGCTCACGGTTTGGTAAGAAAATAAAGCATGTAGCCTGTTAGCTTAGCTTAGCACAGGTTGGAGCTAATGACCACTGATTGTGCACTAATTTTCTGGTAGGCGTAGCGAGATACTCTGAGGGCATTATATAGGGTATAGTTTGGAAAGTACTTTTAAACGTCAAACTCACTTTACTGTTAGCATTGTTAAGTCTTTGTGTAACGTTACTGAAACTTGGGGACTTGAAACATGGAGAAAGGGCTAGCCTACAGGCAGAACCAGTAACTTTGTGGGGTGTTGATGCCAAGAATCTTGTCTTCACTTGTAGACACACACGGGCACCCTGGTAAGTAGTTATTTCTATAATACTTTTTTTCAAGTCCACCTAAAGAATGCATGTGCAGTGGGTGCACTGTAGAGTAGCGTCTGGATCAGTCTACACAGAAAATAGGCAGGCACTTGGTTTTCTTTACAAAACCTGTAGTTTACCTTCTGAAATTTAGATCTCTTGGCCCCAGGGAGGCATTTGTATACACTGGTTAGGTACAGAGTCATGGTAAAAACAAACTAAATGTCTTTCAGTTCTGAGGTTTTATTTATCAGGACATAATAAAAAAAGTTATGTCTTTATAAGGTAACAAAATTGGATAAATACAACCGAGGATGAACAATACATGACATATTACAACAAGTCATTATTTATTTAAAAAAAATCTAAGCCAAAAATGCAGAAGCAGTCCTCTGGAAAACTAAATCCATGTCATGATTCAGTAGCTTGTAGAAGCACATTTAGCAGCAACATCTTGAAGTCATTCTTTTCTGTGCGATGGCATCAGTCTCTCATATTATTCTGGAGAAATAATAGCTCACTCTTCTTTACAGAGTTGTTTCAGTTTATTGAGGCATTCATTTATGCACACCATTTCATTCAGGTTGAGGTCTGGTCTTTGACTGGGCCAACACTGATTGCTTTCTTTTTCAGCCATTCTGTTGTAGATCTGTTGCTTTGTATTGGATCATTGGCCTATTATGCAAACCATTTTTGGTCGAGCTTTAGCTGTCGACCAGATGGCCTCATATGTGACTCTAAC